TTCTATGTTCTCACTGATGCTGACGCTCAACTATGCTACAAACCGGGTAGTAAAGTGCGGGATTGGTTTACGGATACAGTAAGCAATATGTGCTCCCATTTGTTTATGATGAGGCAATATCAGTTGTGAAAAGCAACCGGAATTCAGTTCAGTAGTGCACACCATATCGGATGACTCCTTGAAAGGCACTACAAATGGTTGCCACCCCGAAATTCATTTCTCACTGGCAGCGGACACTGAGACTCGCGTTGATGATCATACGGCTGGTTAGTACTCGACAGATTCACAAAGAACTCAGCGAAATAGAATTGCTGATGACAAGGCTTCGCATTTCCGGTTGTTTTCATACACGTTTAAAGTTGCTACACTGTTGCATTAGAATGAGATATACGGAAGACATTGGACTACTTGGTACAGATCCTACCCAAATACAAAATCGCCATCTATCTTGCCATGTGTTCTGCATCTTCAGGATGCAAGGTGCTAATAAAAGATTGGACGAGTGTCTCACCAAGACTGATCACATGGTACCAGAACAAATTTATCTATGCGGATGATTGCCTCACATCGGATGACGGACCGAATACTAGAATCCCCGAAGTTCGTTCCACCTACCTTCAGATTAGGTACATCCGTGGTCGACATGACGTTAGCCTGTTGGCAAACGACAAGGTTGAGAGTGCGATAGTACGCTCAATGGTACTATTTGCTTGTCAAGCCTAACTGCTACGGGGTGAAGACCAGAGAAGATAGCTTGCTCGTCTCGGCCTTCGAAGCACCGCAGATGTAATCATAGGAGATCAGATTAGGGACCAATGGTTTACAGCAACAAACCAGCCGCTGACCCAACTGATGGGTCGATTAGGCTGCATTTGCCATGTACTCCATCACTGAGGAGATCGGTTGCTTCGTCGGCAGGGCGGCTCCCGACTGGAAGATATTATGACCTGGAGACGGAGCGGGACAGACATAGCAAACGATCTTAGCTGCACTGGTGCATGCGCTTACAAGGTTGAGGTGTGAGATCCACCACACCAACGGTTGAAGGTAGGCACCAACGTGTAGATGTCCCATAAAACGTTGGGGCGAGATGGTCCTGTCTAGGCTTGGGTAACTTGGCAGTATCCCAGCCCTCGTGCTTCCTTCGGGTGGCATGGCGGCTAGGCACCGGAAGGGTGCTACAGCTGAACGCTTTCGTTCTCTCACATAAAAATTGGCGCCATTGTGTAGACTAGTCTATTGTTAGTTCCTAATCCGCGGCGGGCGGCGATCCAAGGCATCGTGCGTGCATCACACATGACAAATGAACTGAACTGAACCGAACCGAGCATGGGACGCCTGGTCCAGATCAGGCTAGGCTGCGCTTTGGTGGGAAGAAATCAGCCAGCATAATTTAGCGGTACAGCTGAGCGAGAAGACATTGGGGAGAAATAAAATAATGAAATTGTTCAGCTGCAGCACCCCTCGGTGCCTAGCTGCCATGCCACCCGAAGGTTGCACGAGGGCTGGGATACCACCAGGTTGCCCAAGCCTAGACAGGGGCAGAGGTCGGGGTCGAACCACGGACCTTCCGGTCAGTAAATCCTGGGTGAAATGACGACAGGCCAAAACGGATGGTTTCACATCTCTCTCGATTCAAGACTGTCCCATTGAAAGGCCTATACGCTTGGTGAGCTTCCGCCAACAGTTTGTGGACCAGACGCTCAAAAACCGGCGAACAGGTTACCATAGTGTATAACTGTGCATTGGATGCAGGGTCGGTGTATAAACCACCAAATACATCCGTTCGTACATACGTGCCGCAGTGCGCGACGGGGTAGAAATGGATTGCGAACCTACACCGAAAAAAAACGCTCGTGTACAATTTAGCAGAGCTGTGATGGGAGTACTTGCTCGCGGGTACAGCGTTGTAGGCGGGTCGGGATGGGGTGAGAGAGAGAGAGGGAGACAGCAGACGAAATATCCTCGAGAAAAATCAGTCAAAAAACTGTATCAAGGGTAGATGAGATAGCGAGATAGTAGGATGGAATAGTGAGTAGTAAAGAAACGAAGCAACGCAGCAGAGCAACCAAGAGAAGTAGACGCGCGAATCGGCGCGAAGAAAAATTACCGGATTTCAAAACGCCCGAGGGATGATTTCCGTTTTTTTGTAGCTTTATCAAAGGTGTGTGTGTGTGCAGTGAATCAATTTCCGAGATTACCATGTGACAAAAACCTAGGATGCCGAACAGGCGAGGAAATATCTGAGAGAGAGAGAGTATGCGGAAAATGGACGGCGGTGAACAGGTTTTGGGTTTTTCCGAGCAGAGAAACGTATTCATTCCTAAGCGAAGAACGCAAAAGCACTTGGTAACGGGATGGGTGAAAATCGAACGGTGATCGGATACTATAACGACTCCCAACAGTTGAACGGCATAAACACTGCGGAAAGAGTCCCCGAAATAGATGCAGTTGTATGAACGATACCAGCGGCTGACAGTCGATGATAGAGGTACGGTGAGATAGGATCTGAAGAGAAAGCATGCCCCAGACTGACGAAACCATGCATCGCATGTACTGTTTTGATGTGCAGTGTACTGGGAACAGATGGACCTCGAGATTAGGCTGCAGATGTGAAGACTGAGGGATGGAACAGAGAAGAAAAACGCGGAAATGTTTACCGCCGTCACATGTGCTCGAGAGTAGTCCTCGTGGGTCAGTTCACGGGAGGACAGACGAAAAAACACATTGATATGTATTCATAAAGGAAACTACTCACTGTGAAGACTGATGGAACAGAGAAGAAAAACGCGGAAATGTTTACCGCCGTCACATGTGCTCGAGAGTAGTCCTCGTGGGTTAGTTCACGCACGGACAGACGAAAAAACACATTGATATGTATTCATAAAGGAAACTACTCACAAGGTTGCTGAAAACTCTTCGACGGCCCACCACCGGTTTCGCCCTTCTTGGGGCTCATCAGGTAGGCGCAGTCCCCGAGTTCCCGTCAACATTATGATCTACTTGAACCCAAATTGGACTTGTTTTTGAGAAATACACTCATCTGCAAATCGATTTGGTTTTCACGGAAGAC